AAGTTACGTTCACCGGGGGTACACGTGTTCGGATCCCCGTAAACACGCCGGTGGTAACTATTAAGTGTGCGTCCCCAGACCAGTAAGTAGGCCTACCTCCACGAATTTGCGAAGGGTAACAATACTGGCTGTTTCTGATTAATTAGTGCAAATTAAATAAAGACTCCTTACAGTTAATTGGCGTTGAGGTGATTTCCCTACGCCTAAGCCCCACTAATCACCCAAGTCGTGGCCTGTCAACACGCCCTGAGAGGAGTCGGATTGCTCTACCGGAGCTAGCAGAACCGAAGAAAAACGGTTACACTACCCACTGATCTGTAATATTGACATCTGCAGTGCTACCAGGGGTGTGACACACAGGTTCCTCTGGAACCAGCTCAAATGACAACTGAGTGAGAAGTAGCATTACCTTGAGGACTTTCTGCTTGAGTTCCATGCTGAAGCTCTTCTCAACAAGCAGACAGTAGAGGGTTTCAGCACCGTGAGGTTCGCAGAGCAGCAGAAATACCTGGTCCCTGCAACTCCTGCTCTCCAAGTATGATATCAACATTTCCAACACCTCCTGCAGCTGGGGAAACAAACACATCGGTACACCACCTTTACTTCATCATGCCTAGCACTAGCCTACTGCTGAGGGCCTCACAATAATGGTATATTCCATCCACTGTGGGAACAAGGACGTGTCACTCTCAGTTAGAGAGATAAACCATTATGTAATCCCACTGATTCCCCCTCATACAGTTGCATATCCTGGACTGTCACATGCCTGTGGAAGAGCAAGCAATAGCAGTGCCACTTCATACAGACATGCCGTCACAGATAAACTGAATCAGCAGAGTGAGAAGTGAATTTTAAAATTGTACTGCTGGTTTGAATGCTGATGGGCGTAAAGATTCATTATGTAACTTATTCCATGAAGCAGGGTCCTAGCTGACAGTTACTAGCTACTTAAGAAAGTCCTTGCCTTTTATGGAACCCAAAGGCTCATTACCATGTTCACAAAGGCCCGCTATTGGTATCTATTCTAAGGTAAATGAATCTCACTCAAACTATCACATTCAATTTCTTCTAGATCCATTTTAATATTATCCTACAATCTAAACCTAGTTTCTCCAAGCAGTATCATCCCTTCAGGATTTACAACCTCCTGAAGACCTAGGCCCATTTTCAATAGAACAAAGTCTTGTGCCAACTTATAGCTTCACATCATGATGGCAAACAGTCACATTCTCACCAGAATTTCTTCCTTCACAGAGGACAAAAAACCCAGAATGGCTGCTACCTCCTTCAAATTCGGTTCCTTCTGTATATAGTACTTGACAAGACCAAGAAGTGACATACAGATTGTCTTGCTGTCATCAGAACTCAGCACTTCAGATGCTGAGTGATACTGACGAATAACATCCAGCTGGAACTGGACACCATACTTTTTACGGAAATATCTGCGATCATCCTTGACCACAGTTGAGATGTATTGCACATGACCTGCAACATAGCAATTGGCATTCAAACTGGATCTCATTCAAAGGAGCAGCCAAGTTTTGATGCTTATATTGTGGTGTTCTGGGTTTTGACACTGTATAGTTTGACAGGTGGATACTGACATTTTGGAATGTGCTATCTGGACCTTCAGTGTACGAGTGTTTTTAATTCCCATGTAAAGGACTACACAGTACCACAATGCACAAGATTAAGATCACTGTATGAACCTGCAGTGATGCAAGAATCTCAAATATTATATATGACACAAACTCCGTCTTAAGTGCAACAATTTAATAGTAGTTCTTTCTTCTTTCCTTCCTCTACACTACATGTTTCGGCCCTAAATGGCCATCATCAGGTGTATATTCTTACGTAGCTGCTACGCTGCCTGTAGTTTAAAATTTAAAACACCAGTCTTTCCAATTGTATGTATGTATAAAATCTTTGTTAACCTACACATGTCAATTTGATTTCCAAAAGTGACACTTTTTAAAACTTCAATTCAAATTAAAATGACTTTAAATTTTCCGTTCTTTTTCTTTTTCCAAATCTTAAAAATTAAAATTTCTCGGGGTACTCGCCCTATGTCTATAGTGCTGCAGTGGCCACTTCTTGTTTTATCGCTGTTCAGGTATTGTTCTGTGTAGGCTCTCTGTGCATGTGTCACTGCCTATCTTTAATACGTGTCTCATATATTGTGTGAGTGTAACAGGATGCTTAAATATAATATTGTACTCAAATATTATATATAGGTGAGTCAGATTTTCTACATAGTGACTTATTTTTAAGCTTGTTGTGCTTGCTGCACTGCTTAAAGTGAGAACTCCCTTCGTGACCATGAAATATTCTGAAACTTTACAGGCCAGTGGTACTGTAGTCACAGCAAAGTTAATGTAGCCACCCCACTTTCCATATACACCTAAGCAGAGCAGCACGCAGTGCATGTGACTTTCGTGGGCTGAAGGTGTACTAGAAGCAGAAATCCATCACAGACTTTCAGCACAATTTGGAAACAGTGCTTCACTGAAGCAAAGTGTGTACAAATGGATAACCATGCTCAAAACCGGTCACACAAGTGTCAATGACAAAGGATGATCAGGACTCCTGTCCACATCCTCGTATTATGCAGAGGTTGATCATGAGATAAAGTAAAAAACAGAATAAGTTTGGCAAAATATATGAAAAACAGATGCAATTTTTACATGTTCGATAAATTTATTTCAGTTTCTGAATGACAGTCTGATACAGCATTTCTCAGCATTTCTACATAACAACACATTTCACAATATGCAGTACTATTTAGTTATTTATAGTCTGAGTTTTAAGGTTCTCACAGTAACAAATATCACATGTTGTCTTCTGGGATATGACACTGTGTAGCATGTTTGAATAATGCTGAAGATGAAGGCAGTAATTGCCCTGTCAGACTACACAGAAAATCTCTATCTTGACATTTACTGGCATGAGTTCCATGACTAAGTAATATTGTGACTGAACAGATAGTTGAATGCCTCAATACAAGATCCTCAGGAAACAAGATTGGAAGTAAATCCACTAATGTAACTTTAATGTTTCTTGCATCCTGCTGTGTATTTAATCAATATTAAATTTTAAAATTTAAAAATTTAAAATTTCGTGAATCGAAGTTCGACTCAGATCACTGGTTATACTTTCACTTTCACTTGTTTTTCAGTCATTTCCTACTTACGCTCACCACTGCGTGCAGTTCACTTCAACTAGTTTAATTACTACCACTGGTTAAAAGTTCATGAATTAAAGTTCAACTTATTATACTGGTTGCACTTTCACTTTTTTTAGAGGTCTCGCTGTTCTTCCGCGTCCAGTGATCTGAGTCGAACTTCGATTCACGAAATTTTAAATTTTTAAATTTTAACTTTTAACATTTAGAATGATATTTTAACTTGTGTTTTATAAGAAGAGCTTGATATATCATTGAGCATAAGCCTGAATAAGATACAGGGTCAAATAAGTGGAAAAACGAACGTGATTGCATGTTTTATACAGTTGTTCATATACCTGAGGATGACCTCTTGAGGTTGAAACATGTAGTGTGATAATAATAAAAACGTGTTGTGTAGTCAGTAAAATTTACTCTAATATCCACTAACGTAACTTACGAACATGGCACTTCAATACCAACTGTACCACCGATTGCATAGAAATGCCACAGCCTCACCTATCCTGATGTGAAACTGACTACGAGACCAAATTCTGAAGTTGAACAGAATATGCTGAAACAGAGATTGGCGGAGTGCGGGGTTTGGTATGTCTCGAGCCATCTCGACTAGCAGCTGCACTGCCATCAACACGTTCACATCGATCAGGTGCGGCTTCGCCTGGAATGATGGGTATTTTCTGTAAGTCTGATGAAGATAATGACATGAAACTGTAAGATAACCAAAGTTACACATTTGTTGTTATGACTTGCATATTGTCATTACCAATGTCACAATTAGTCACTGTGCATTTATTTCACTATGACAAGCTATTACAACCCTTGAGAGGCACTTAGGAATCAGATTTTCACTGAATATGCAGGTTCAGAATGCAACCAGTCATGGAAAGGTTAGTGCATTTATACTATGATACTAAATATTATGAAACCCATTGGAACAGATACACAAAAACTTATTCCCTGATATGACAAGTGCCTCAGTTCTGGTGGTGACTAGGTTAAAAAATAGTATAAGTATGTATTTCTTTTTACATAATAAAACTTTTTTCTCACTGCTTGTTTTGTTAACAGCTCACCTGAGGTTACTTTCCAAAGAGCCCTTGCATCTTCATCCAGCTACCACGAATACCTTTGAAATTGCACAATCTTTAAAATGTTAATATTGTAGCGTGTTTTGTGTGTCACGCTACAAATAAGTTCACGCCGTTCTCCGATATAGCGAGTTTATTACGTTCGCTCGCCTTACACACACTTTACAATCATTTACACTTGCAGTGGTACAATCACTGCTTACAATATCTCGGCAACACTGGACTGTCTTCTCTGGCGGTTATTCCAAGACTCACTCCCAAGGTGGCTCGATCACGACTGACCTCTTAGCTGGCTACTCCGAGACTGAAGACTTCTCGTCGAAGCTGGGCTTTTATAACCTTGGCCGCTGCTAGGTAACGAACCCTCTGTTATAGCGGTGGAGACGTTGCCTTATTGGTTCTGCGTTCCCTACGCAATAACCCATTGTTATCGCGTTGTCTCTGTTGGAACGCTATGCGTGTTTGTCGTAACCATGGAGATTCCTGTTAGAACTACAGTAGAGCGAATGTTGTTTCTTATGCAACGGTCTGTTCTAGCGTTTCCATAGAACTGACTCTTCTGGATTCCAGACACGTTACAATATTGTCATGTGTTGGGTGTATAACGCAACAAATAAATTCACGCTGTAGTGGATATAGCAAATTTTATTCCACATTCGCTCTTACAATCACACAATTTACAATCTGACAATAACTGGCATCTGCAGTATCACAAATACTAGACTGCAAATGCCAGACTACAACTGACTGGTTGCTGGCTAACTCGTTAGTCTCCGCTGGCTAGATGGAGAACAGTCTTGATTAGTCTTCACTGCTCCTTATTTAGCCCCGTTCTGGACAACACATAAAACAGCCACGTAATAGCTACCACTGTTATTACCGTCGTCTCTCACAACCACTGCTGTCTGCCGCCGTGGTAGCCGATAGCCTGGCAACACTGTTGGGAGTTCTTTACCGCTACGTAGTAACTGCGGCGTCCTGCGTTACGTGACCGCTGTTGACTCGTGTTGCATAGCGACCAGTATGCGGGGGGGGGCGTCATTCATAGCGCAACATGTCACAATATGTTACATTTTCCCAACCTTCTCTAGGCAGAACCCTTAGTGACATCCTAGGGTTGTCTGAATTTGTCTTATCATTCACAACTTCACTATGCACTTCTTATGCACTACAATATCACTAAGAAGGGTTATTGCAAGGTGAAGGAATGAGAAACATGATTATTAAGTGCTCAAGAACACCCTATACTATGGCACTAGAAGCTGGACACCTTCTTCAAACAAGCAGATCCTATTATCACTTCTCTGTACCTTTGTCAGAAGAACTCCAATGATCAACAACCCATTATTCTTCATAAGCTGCTCCTGATTGACAGGACTGCCAGCAATTATGTTCTTCAAGAGGCTCAGAAACCCAGATATTGGATTCTGCTCCAACTTCCAATCTGGAAAAAAGGAATGATGGGTGTGTTCATTTGTATATCAGCATCTAATTATACATTTATCAAATTTCTCCTTATCTGTCCATCATACACCAAAAGGTACTGGCAATCCCCCCCCCCCNGGTGATAGTAACAAAGAGCACAGTCCTTCTGGGCATCTTAGTCGCTCAGCTAGTCAAGAAATTTCCTGCATTCTATTTCATTTATTCACCTTCCATACATCCTGTCAAGAGTACATTCTCATACGGATGTGGAGTTTGTCCTAGTTACAGTCACAACTAAGAATGGAACCCGCAAGTTCATTACTGTAGATTCTAAGGGGTTCTGATGATGGTGTATAACACTAAGGATTACCTCAATCACCGGACTTGCAATCATTGCTCTTTGTAATGGGTCCAATGGAGTATGTTTCTCATTTCTCATCTGAGGACAGAAACAGATCCAGTTTCCAAAACGTTGCATTCTTTAGTGTGCGTCTTATTTAGAATACTAGATGACGGACAAAGTCCAAACACCCACTAATCCTGAATTCATTATTTTGTTCACTAGAGCCTGCTGCTGGTCCCCACCATTTCCACTTCATTACTCAATATCTATCATGTCATTCTACACTACATAGTTTTAAATAGCAAAAACATCATTAAATAACATATAAGATGAAAAACTGGTATTTCTGTACAGTTGCATACGGTTACAGGTCAAGAACTTACCAGAGTACGAGCTGGAAGGCAGGATCTCCCACTCATCCGAGTCCACAGAACCTTCATGACCCTCAATCAAGCGATACTCCTTTTCAACAGATGGTGACAGGAAGCTAAGGTCAGGGCCCTCATCTGATGTGGAGGCATTTTCCAGAATAGGGAAAAGAGCATGAACTCCTCCGATTCCATTGATCGCATTCTGTTAAGAAACATGGCACAGAACAAATTAAATGCCCATGTCATATATTTGTAGAAACAACTGATTTTCCATGACTGGTGGTTACTGATGCCTGGGCATATGGCCTCCTAAGTGGGTTTATGGGACCCCAAAGTAGGCACACAGGACATGTTAGTGGGCATATGGGCCCCTTGCATGTGCATACAAGAGTTCAATGGAGAAGCACAGTGCATTTGGATCAAAATCAATTTCATCTCAAAAAGTAAATGGTGAGCAAAATGGGAATAGGAACCTTCATATTAACAATATAATATAAAACATTAAACATTTCTTTTCATGTTTTGATTTCTTATTAATTGTCATCGATGGGGTAATTGAGATGGTCATCCTCATTGTCATAATCATCCCCACTGTTAAGGTCACTGTTGTCACTGTTGTCAATGGCAGCATCATCATCCTCATTGCCATCATCACAGAGGCTGTCATCATGTCTGTTGTAGTAATCATTGTGGTCACTGTAGCAATCAACGATGCTTGCCAGTCATCTTGGTCATGGTCTTTTCTGTGGTCATGGTCGTCATTGTGGTTGGGATTTTGGTTCTAATGCTCATAGTCATAATCCTCATAATCATTGTGGTTGTGTGTGGTGGTGGTGGTGGGTAGTGGTGGTAGTCGTCATTGTTGTCATCCACACCACCATCCTCTTGCATGTTTGCTTTTCTTCCAACTTTCTCTTCAGTGTCTGCAACTTCCATAGTCTTCTATATAAAATTTGGAACCAATATCATTTAAATAAATTAATAATAAAAATGTTTAATAAAAGCACATTGTAAGTCTAAAATAAAGGTTTCTGGGCATATCAGATAGTGTACGGATTCCAGAAGTTCAACAGAGTTGTGAGACAAAACTCATATTTTCAGATAAAAAAATCAGACCCTCATAATTCTCTGTAATTACACGATCCATCATATACACCTAAGAACTGCTGTTAAGCCCTGTGAAATTCTGGTGCATGAGTCCCACTGGTACCTTGATACTGTAGGTCTGGCAGTGGGCCGCCACCACATGTCCCTCATACATGTTAGCAGGTGTGAGGTCCAGGCACAGGTTGTTCCAGTATGCCGCAGGAGAGAAGCAGAATACCAGCTTGTTTGTTAGCTCGATAAACTCAGGTACATCCTCCAGTGCAAAGAGAGCAAAACAGTTGGGACCTGCATGATGAACCAACAGTTCATGTTAAGTAATCATTCACCTTACTCTGTGAGTCAAGAGCCTTTGTTACATAACAATACTAGGCACTAAGGTGTAATTTCTGCCTTCAGGCCATGTGATGAAGTTATTTCAATGTTTCAGCATATATGGCACTTGATACCATCAGGATAAATGAGGCAGAAGGAGGAAGCTGGCACCAGCACAGTTACTGGTAGTCCAGTGACCATGGGGGGTACATGTTAGCTTAGTTGGTTGAAGCACTATGCTACAAGCCAGAAGGCCATGGTTCAATTCCTGATGAGTGCAGTGGATTTTTCAATTGACTTAATCCTTCCAACCACACTATGGCCCTTGGGTCAACTAAGCCTCTAACAGAAATGAGTACCAGGAATCTTCCTGGGAGTGAAGGGCTGCCGGTGTGTAAGGCTAACAACATCACTGCCATCTATGAGTCGACTGTCTAGAAAATGTGGGAGCCTCGACATCTCACAACCCTATATGCCTCCACAGCCTGTCCCAGGGATAGCTTCACCTTACCAGTGAAAAGACTAGCTCCTTCTAACAGGTCCAATCTAGTACAAGTTCCCCTTCACAGCTGATGACGGAAATGGGTACAGTTTCAGAAGGGCTGCACATGCCAAATATACCTCAGACAGTGGCCACTGTGGAACATAATATTTGTATAATGTAACAAAGGTTGTTTTAACAGTACATTCTATTTGGAGATGTATCTGATGGTTAAATACATTTTTAGCCTACTTCCTTTACTTTGAAAAAATAAAAGTAGGCTTATGAGATCACCATGCTCTCTGTGCGTTTTATTCCCCCCACCCCATCAACTTTTGAATGCCTGAACCAATCTTTATGAAACTTGGCATGTATATCTTGGCAACCAAGCCCATCTCTAAAACATACTTCATAAATCCCTTCCATCAGTCTGTGTAGCCCCCGTTGTTACTAGGCAACATTAGCATAGCAATGAGCACACACACAACAACAGAACTGCTGGATGTATCATCTTGTATGCAACCCATGTCATATCAAAGAAAAGTAGGTAATTGGTTCTTCCCAGAACTTCTTCTTAATTTGAATATCTAAAACGGTGGTGTAATTCTGAACTTCAACATTATCTTGGTCAAGTGCAGGAGCGTTTTTCTCATTCCACCTCCAGTTTCCAGATCCTAAAGGAAGCCTGATTTGCAGACTCATGTACTGAACTGAAACATACCTCCATCATACAAAGTTTTGACTTGCTGTGGGGTGAGCGCCTCCTGAAAGAGACACGCAAGTCCAACCTGTCCCTTGAGACTTGTGGGTGAGCCCCATATGGTGTCCTGCATGCCGGCAGGGAAGCTCTTCACGTTGGGATCGAGGGGTGTAGAGGAGCGCAGGGGCAGGGTAAAGTAGTTTGGAACTTGATTGATGAGTGTTGGCAGGAGACCTCGTTCCATCACGCCACCAGAAAGCAGTCCTCCCCTATCACCTGACTTGCCATCCACAACGGCCCCACTGGAGTTACTATGCCTCTGCACCACAGAACCGATTGTACAAAAAGCAAATGGCTGAAAAAGAAATGAATGAATAATGTAGTTTTGTAACTGAAAATTCTAAGAATGACATCTGCCAAGCCAGAAGCTGAAAATCCTGACCGAGATTTCTTCAAGTTATTCTTCAGTCTCTCCAAGCAAATGCTGAGACACTATCATGAGAATTCATATTGTGCTCTTCTGGATTACTTCATGATATAATCTGGCAGATGGGTATCACCATTTGAAAGCAACACACTACCTCCATCTGCCCTGAAGATGCAGGCAGTATGTTTGCCTAAAACATTAAGGAGCCCAAAGAGGGGTTACTGTAACAACTTACATCTGTCATTGCCGGAGACTTCACACTAGCCACCATGCGTTGTGCTCCATCTATATACACTGTTAGCTGCCTCTGCCCAAATGGTCTCCTGAAAACAAAACAAATTTTGGCCTAAATGATATCCAGCATCAAATTCTTATATAAAAACACTGCATCTTGGAAACGACAGGTCTGCTTGAATGAGCTGGCCTTAATCACTGCATTCTAGTAACCTATATGAGCCCTTTCCACTACACATAATAGTTAGGTCCCGACTTCTGAATTAAGACAAGAACAGAGCCAGTTTCAAACATGTTATGCTCTTATTAAAAAACCTAAATCATGGACAATGTCAACATCACAGAAACTGACTTATGATGGAGGTTCATCAAAACAATGTTCAGGAAGGAATGATATAACGTGTTTTCAGACTAAGGATTAGTGCCTATTAACTTCACTGTATTCCATAAAATGAAACTCTATCCTCAATAAAACAGATTTTGACAAAACTTCATATTTACAATTTACCTATAAAATTGAATATATTTAGACATGGATTACTACTTTATAAGACAACCTAAATAGGTAAGTCAATAAGTAAGTTACAAATGGATATAGAACTTAAACAAATAAGATTTGAAAAATGCTTTTATTTCTCAACATAATCTCCCTGTACATTGAGGCACTTGTCCCATCGTTTCACAAGCCCCTGAAAACCAGCAGCATAAAATTCTTTGGGCTGCTGTCGGAACCAGGCGTGTTCACACGGCATGGCCTACCTCACAATGCATGACAGGTTGCATACTTCCGTTGAATGGCCTTATGAAGTTTCCTGAGGATGTTACAGTAGGAGTTGGCATTTACGGTTTGTCCTTGAGGCTGCAATGCAGTGAGCTGTGTGCCTTCGTGATCCCAGAAGACTGTGAGCATCACTTTCCTGGAGGATGGTGTCACCTTAAACTTTTTTTTTTGGCAGGTGATACAGGATGTTTCCACTGCATTGACACAAGCTTTGTCTCGGGCTGGTAATGGTGAACCCAAGACTCGTCACCTGTGACAATTCAGGCTAGCATATCGTGTCCTTCATCATGGTAGCGATTGAGATGCTGTAATGCCAGACCCATTCTTTGCATTTTGTGTTGTGGGGTCAGCACGCACGGCAGCCATCATAGACAGACTTTGTGAAAATCTAACCTGTCATGCATTATGAGGTAGGCCATGCCGTGTGAACATGCCTGGTTCTGACAGCAGACCAAAGAATTTTATTCTGCTTGTTTTAAGGGGTTTGTGAAACGGTGGTACATGTGCCTCAGTGTACAGGGAGATTATGTTGAGAAATAAAAGCATTTTTCAAATCAGTAATCTTATTTGTTTAAGTTCTATATCCATTTGTAACTTACTTATTGACTTACTCTCATAAATTTATTTTAAAATGTAGTCTTATACAAAAGTCTTGGCCACTAGGTAAAGGGAAAGTCGTCCCTGTACTTAATTAATTAAGCATCATGCCATGAAGAACTACAGGGGAGCAGATGTATAGCTCCACCTCTTTTGACCCTGACACTAGTTGGAAGTGAGAGGTCAGCTTCATTCCACCGGCTGCATTACCCCTGGAGAAAGAGGCCCAGTATCAATGAGAGAGGAGGATGGATGGCCCCAAGAGCTGGTCTGGTTGCTGTGAAGAAGATAACAAACTTTGCCCCTGCTGGGAACTGAAACCTAAATGTGTAGCCTGTATCCTGTCACTGTACTGACTAAGGTACTGCAGCTCCAGTCATGACTACTAATAAAATAAATATTTTAAGACGACTCGTACATTTTCTTCACAGGACAGAGAACAAACATTCTTCCACGTAAGATGTGAGGTTCTTAAGGCAGTCAATATCAATGATACTATCTTCTGGGGTGTATGTCATGCACTGTTGTTTCACAGGGCTGCAACAGGAGAGAAGAGTAAGTTAAATAAGCAGAGTAAAACTCCCTACCGTTACCTTGCAGCCATGTGACAAATGTCCACACAGTGCCACTGCCCCTCTATGAGAGGAAAGTCTGTGACCGACGCAGAGAGGAATTCCTTCTTTGTGCTGATACCAACTACAAGGGCCCCATCAGGTCGGAAGAAAGCTTCGAGCCCTGTTCCTCCACTTGTCAGTAGGCTGCACAAACACCAACTCCTCTGCATTATACAAACCTCACTTGGATACCCACCACATATACCTCTCTCTCAGTATGAGTGTATTTGAGTGTGTGTATGTCCGTGTGCGCACATGCATGTATACACAAAGTGATGTATATCCTAACATCTTAAATTCAAGAGATTATACCTGTGGTCATTTCTTGCCAGAAAAGTTGTATGAACTTAGGTCCAGTTATCAATGATTATGAAGCAATGGATGTTTCAAATTCAAGAACAGTTATGATGTAAGTCTCAATAAGTTCATGTTGACAGCAATCCACACTGGCATGCAAGAAAATGTTAGAAATTTAAATGCGTATGATTACTTTCTTAAATTTTGAAGAACTTAATTTTTTTTTATGTTGGAAATTTTCTAATTTTGTTCATGCCAACATGCATTGGTGCCAATCTGTAACGCCGTGTCTGCGTTACGTCAGAGGGCATCCCCCCCTCCTTTTCTACTACCTTCCCCCTTCCACTGTTCCACTTCCTGGTTCCTGACGGCTCAAGCCCAACAAGTGTGTTCCATTCTGTTGTTGGAGCTTGAACTGTTCAGTTGATTCACTTTTCCTGGTCTGTATGATTTTGACTGGTTGATTGCCAGAGGCCTATTACCTCCAGGGACTTACATTGTATTGGCATTTAGTATTTAATACATATATTGTCATTTGATATATTTGTTATAGTGTCTTTGAGTTGGTACATCCTACCCAAAAACCAAATTTTGGTCTTCAAGACCTTTTCACGTTTCAAATCCTATGTTGAAATTATGACACTGAGTCATGAATCACCCTGTATATCTATTTTGTTACATGGTCTGAGTTACTGTGTCATTAAATAAATTATAAATATAAATATATCTTCACCTCTTCATCGACTTATATATCTCTATCTATTCACATCTATCTGTAGATGTCTCTATGTCTTTCTATCATCTATATACATATCTCACTACCACCCTCTTTCTTATTCCCTCTACATATGTATCTACCTGTACATATCTATCTCCCTCTATTTATCTATCCTTGTAAAATACCTCTCTTTACATTTGTGTCCCTCCCACTCCACCCCCAACCTTAGTTCCCGCTTGTCTCTCTGACCAGATATCTAGCATCCCCAGTCCATGTGTAGACTAGCCAGCAACTGTTCTGTCCACATTCTGCACAATATTCACACCTGTGCTTGCCTCCACACTACCCACAGCTCCAACCTGTCCCATCAGAGGTCCAGGAAATTAAAACAAGTTTGCAAATTGTTGTACTGCAGCACATCACATTGATTCAGAAGGAAACTTCCTCTGACACTCCAGTTGGACTGACCCAACTGCACAGCCAACGAGATAGCAATATTCAAGTGTAGAGTGAGGACCACTGCTCACATGTGCTAAAATAAATCAACCCTTACCTGAACAACTGCCTCCGGTAGTTGGCTGGGCTCAAAGACTGTGGTTCCTTGATGGGGTCCAGCTGCACCCAGCAGTGAAAACTGAACCCATATCCTGCTCCTGGCCACTTCTTGATACCAGACACACTGATGCCATCTGTAACAAGCATTCCATACCAGATTTCACACAGTCTTTGCACTCTGGCATTCTGAATGTTCCTGACTGTTCCAAATAGATTATTTCTGACTTCCTTCAATGACCCTCCACTCACTTTGTACACGTTACTTCTGATCTAACTCACTACATGAAATATATAAAGCATTGTCCCATTATTACTAAAAAAAAAAATATACTGGAATATATGTATTCCTTGCACTTCAGACACTCTTTATTGTAGTTACTGTCCTTCCTGTGGTTTTGTATGGGGGTGAAACTTGGTCTCTGACATTAAGGGAGGAACATAGACTGAGGGTATTTGAGAACAGGGTGTTGAGGAGAATATTTGGACCGATGAGAGATGAAGTGACAGGAAGTTGGAGAGAACTGCATAATGAGGCGCTTCATAACTTGTACTCTTCTCCAAGTATAACTAGAATGATCAAGTCAATGAGGATGAGATGGGCAGGACGTGTAGCAGGAATTAGGGAGATGAGGAATGCATATAGGATATTGGTGGGAAGGCCAGGAGGAAAGAGACCACTGGGAAGACCGAGGCGTAGGTTGGTGGATAATATTAAAATGGATCTTAGAGAGATAGGATGTGACAGATTGGATTGATCTGGCTCAGGATAGGGACCAGTGGAGGGCTCTTGTCAACACGGTAATGAACCTTTGGGTTCCATAAAATGCTGGGAAATTCTTGAGTACCTGCAGAATTGGAGGCTCTTCCAGAAGGGCACAGTTCCATGAGTAAGTAAGTAAATAAGTACTGTCCTTACATTGCATACTACTATAACTAATGTTATAATGGTTACTGTTGCTTATGACTGTTAGCATTTTTCCTATGGTTTATGATTACTACATTTCAGTAATGGCGCTAGCATGCCTCTCACTTCACAGATCCATCATGTTGCAACTACCAACTGTAGGAAATCAGAAGCATGAGTCTGAATGCCCTACACTGGAATGATGCCCATGTAAGATTGCATAAAATTCAACAATCACTTAAAGTATGGGGACAGAAAAATTGTATTATGTTTATGCACACTATGCATAGAACACATAACAAACATTCAGAAAACAGAAGAAGGAAAATGCAGGTCTTGTGTTCTGAACACCTATTTAATTATGCAATAAATCAACAACAATATGCACTCTTCAACTAATACTATTGATGACTGTATACTGAAGCATCGTGCTGTGTTACAGTTCAAACTGTATTGTGTTTCCTTCCCTACACAACACTTTAGCAACGTTCTATGACTTTGCCATTTTAATTGGTTATTGACACCATCACTGTACACTTGTTGGCACTGTAAATGTGAGACACATCGATTGTCATGCAATCATCATCAAGTACAACTGTGCAATATGCATGTTGGTATACTGTACATGCTTGTAGCCTCATAGCAGTTGCCAATACAATTAAAACTGAACAATATTACAAAAAAATTCAAAACTGAAATTGAAATAAGACTGGTGCAATCTTGCTGTTATTCTGATCTCTAGCGTGGTGGCATTTTTCTGTTGCTCATTGTCTGTGTTTGTTTTCTGTTCCTGTTAGGTATGCTTGATGGTTGTTGTTGTAAGGGTGAGAACCTCTTACACATCCACCAATGATCACAAATAAAATGTTTCACAGAAAAGGACTGACACACAACACCTTTTAATACTGTCAAGATTACTAATTTGAGGAGGAAATGCATGGGGCATGTAACATACATGTTCGACATAAGAGATACAATAATTTGGACGAAAACCTGAAGGTCAGATATTACTAAGCAAACTCTCATGAATACAGTAATCAACCCCTGGGTTTCATAAATGGTGGGGACTTTCTTGAATATGCAAGTGACTATTAACTCTTCAATAAGGGCTTAATATCATGTAGTCAGTTATTCAGTAAACCGCCATGTGGGGGAACTATACATTGCTTGAGGGTAATATTAAAATGGACCCTACAGAAATAGATTGAAAGGTATGATAGGCAGAAACAACTCTGCTAAATGGTACTGCTAATGAATGTGAACTCAAACACCCACCTGAGTCTCGCTGAATGTCAAAGTAGCTGTTACAATCCACAAAGTCGCTTTTCCGTGCTACAGATGAAATTGCGTGCAACACCTGTATTCGGTATGGGAACTGAAACAGAACATATCACATATTTTATAAAGTGTCTTTGCCATGAGAAATCACTATATATATGACCTTCAGATTGAAAAGAAGAAGAGATACTTCTAAAATGCTATGAAATTACATTTGGTATGAAGAAGTTCTAGACTAATTCATGAAGCAGACTTCTTCTTTAGAAGTTAAAGGGCACTCAGCCATTTAAGAAATTCCCAGCATTTTTTGGAACCTGAAGTTTCATTACTGTGTTCATAAGAGTCCAGAAAATGTCCATATCTTAAGTCAGCTGAAACCAGTCCACATCGTCACACACTATTTTTTAAAATCAATTTTAATATTGTTTTCCCATCTGTGCCTTGGTCTTCCAACTGGCCTGTTCTCCTGAGGTCATCCAAAAAATATTACTGTATGCTAGTCTCTTCTCTCTCATGCAGAGTACGTGCCCTGCCAATCTCAACTTCCTTGTGTCGTCCTGACAATATTGTCAGCAGAGTATACATTATGAAGCTCCCAATTATGCAGTTTCCTCTAACCTCCTACTTCCTCCCTCTTTGGTCTAAATATTCTCCTGAAGAACCCTCAGTCTATGTCCTTTCCTTCATGTCAGAGACCATGATTTACATTCCATACAAAACAACAGCTAAACCTGTAATTTTGCTTACAATTTTTTATTTTTACATTTTCAGATAAGAGACAGAAAGACGGAACATTCTGAAGCAAGCACATGCAGAATTTAATCCACTCTTAATTTCTTCATGAATGTGATTTTCATATTTTACTGCCATTCCCATTCATTTTTCCCGTTGTTTTGTATGGATGTGAAATTTGGTCTCTCACACTGAGTGAAACACAATGGACAACAGGCATATGGGAATAGATGAATGAACCTAAGAAGTAGAACAGTACGAAATGAGGAGCTTTATAAACTGTACTCTTCTCCTGATATTAGGGTGATCAGATCAAGGAGGATGTGACGGACAAGCAGGTAGCATGCATGGAGGAGATGCAAAATGCATACAAAATTTTGGTTGGAAAAATTAAAGAAAAGAAACCTCTCATAACACATGTTGATTGGAGGGTAATTTAAAATAGATTTTAAGGAAAGAGGATGGGAGATGAGGACTGGATTCACCTGGCCCACAACCAGTGGTAGGCTCTACTGAAGATGGTAATGAAGCACCAAGTTCCATAAAAATGAACCCCTTGAGTAGGTGAGTGACACCAGCTTCTGAAGGACCTGCTCCATAGAGTTATTGTGTAATACACACTGTGACTGTTGACTCAAGTATTCAGAGCCAATGAGGCCAAACGTGTCAACTCACTTTCAAATCTGCGTCCTCCCTGAGCAAAAGGAATGTCTGCTTCAGTTCATACGGGGTGATGGAGTGAGATGCCAGCACCTCTAGTAGCTTTATCAGCTCATTGGCCGTTTTCTGACTCAGCTTCACATGATCCTCAAGTGCCTGGCATATGGCAAGGATGACCCCTTGCCGACACGCCAATGTCTTGCTATGAAAGAAGAAATACATATATAAAAGGTACAAAGGTACAGGCTGTGGATGCCTATAGGGTTGTGAGACATCAAGGTCCCTTCATTTTCTAGACAATTGGCTCACAGATGGCTGTGAGGTTGTCAGCCTTACACGCTGGCTGCCTTTTACACCCATGAAGATTCCTGGTGCTCATTTCTGTTAGGGGCTGAGTTGACCCAAGGGCCACAGTGTGGCTGGAAGGATTAGGTCAATTGAAAAATCCAGTGACCTCATTGGGAATCAAACCCATGACCTACCAGCTTGTAACACAGTGCCTCAACCAAATGCACTACCACGTGCCCCTAAGAATACATACAAAGGTTTTTAAATTATTTAATGATATTATATAAACCACAGAGGTTATATGACAACAAAGGAGATGAGAGAATGAATCTGTAAAAGAGTGGGGAAGAAGTGGTCACTGGCAATTTCACAGTACTATCCTGACATCACCTGGACAAACCGAAGACAACCATGAAGGTAGATGCCTTGTTTCCTCATGTGTCAGCAGCTACCGAATGTCAGTGTTGAAGAAACACTGCTGAAGGTGAAGAGAACAGTCTTCAGAGTTGTAATACCATTTTGTAGTTCAGAAAGAGTCCGACATTTCACAATAACATATCACTTTCATCATCAGTGTCAAAGAGTAAGCCAAGCAAGAATCAGCAGACGCAAATGGTAAACTCCAAAACTCTGAGCTCTCTATGAACTACACAGTGTTACAACTCAGCAGACCACATATATATATGTATGCCTCATGGTCACTGCCATGAGAACCTTAAATGATGCACTACTAAAGTTACTGTCGCGATTTTGGAGAAACTATAGATGGGGTTTGGATTGATGATCGGAATTACTGAACCATAACTACAAATAACTACGTCAGTAACACTGAGTTACACACTCCAGAGATCACCGTAACTACTAACTTCATGGAATTGAACCCTTCTTATGAAGCCAGCAATTGTGTAACTACTCAGGAACTTAACAGAAATTTATGGAACCCGAAGGTTCATTACCATGTTCACAAGAGCCCTCCACTGGTCCCTATTATCAGCCAGATCAATCCAGTCCATACCACCCCATCCTATCTCTCTAAGAACCACTGTAATACTATCCACCCACCTATGTATTGGTCTTCCTAGTGGTCTCTTTCCTTCTGGCTTTCCCACCACTGCTTCAATAGGTATCCCAGAAATGAGAGAATATGATTCTGTCCGTAGCACTAATATTCCTGAAGGTGTGACTGCATTTCTACATGATCTGATTTCTAGACCAGGACGGATGTTATCTTCAAAATTACACCCACTAAACTACTCTACTTTAAACATTACAGCTATCATCTTCAGAGCTTCAGGCAGGTCACTCAAACATCACAGACAATGAAACAAACAATATAGAACAATTAAGAGCCTTCTGGAATGTGACACCATGTAGCCTGTTAGAAGTTTACTGCTGTTTCTGTGAAATTCAATGCCATCATCTTCAAGGTAGAAGAGTCAGCTGAGCAAAGCCACGAAGAGGGGAGATATATTACAAGGTGTGGCAATAAAGAAACCGGATTCATGCTCTAACCCTTTATTAAAAAAAAATCAGACAGTCGAAATGTTATCCCCTTCAATGTAGTCCCCTCCCCGATCCCTACACCGCTCCATGCGAATTTTCCACTGTTGGAAGCAGTGCTGCAGGTCATCTTGTGTTATGCTCTTCAAGAGTTGCGTCGCTTTTGCTTTCACTGCATCCACGGACTCGAACCTGGTCCCTTTCAGCGCAGACTTGATTTTTGGGAAGAGAAAAAAGTCGCACGGTGCTAGGTCCGGAGAATACGGTGGATGTTCCATCACTGGAATGTTGTTTTTTGCCAAATACCTCTTCACAGATA